CTTGACTCCAATAAGATGGCAGCTTATCTTAGCTTATCATTCAGCCAGACATTTGTAGGGAAGGCTTTCCAAAATTGTTCAGTTCCACTGAAGATGACTCAGTCTTTTTGCTTTGGCGGGGGGTGGTGTGGGGGGCAGAACACCTGGTGGTGCTCAGGGCTTACTCCTGCCTCTGCACGCTCATGGGACTAGGGGACTATTGGGGGCTCCGGTGATAGAGCTCAGATCTGCCACATACAAGGCAAGTGCCCTCCCCACTGTGCTCTCTCTGGCCCCAAAAAAGCTTCCTTCATGACCCCTAAGTCCAACGGAATGAAATTCCAGTTGTTTAGTCCCAGTCGGCTGGAGCGATAGCACAGCGGTAGGGTGTTTGCCTTGCACGCAGCCAACATTTTTGATTTGTCTAATTTTTGATTTGTCTAAGTTCAAGGAGGTCTAAGTAAATCGACCTGAGTTCGATTCCTCCGCCCCTCTCGGAGAGCCCTGCCAGCTACCAAGAGTATCTTGCCCACACAGCAGAGCCTGGCAAGCTCCCCGTGACGTATTTGATATGCCAAACACAGTAACAACAAAGTCTCCAATGGAGACGTTACTGAGCTCGCTCGAGCAAATCGATGAACAATGGGAGGACAGTGACAGTGACTAGTTCCAGTACTGCCATGGCTTGCTTGATCGCAGTTTATCCAGGGCACTCTCCCGTGGCCTCAGCAGCACATTTGACCGTGTAGGAAGAAATGTACTGACAAACATGCATTTACTTGAAGGATAGCACAGGTGAAAGACAAAAGATGGGCAGAGAAGGTGTCTCAAAAGCATTGATGCTTAACGCTAATCTAAAGATGTTTAGGGCCGGAATGATAGTATAGAAGGTAGGGCATTTGCCTTGCACATGGCTTCAATCCCTGGCATCTTACATGGTTCCTGAACCTAGAGCACAGAGTGAAGAGTAAGCCCTGAGCACCTTGGAGTATGGCCCCAAAACAAAACAAAACAAAAAGGTGTTTACTGTGTGGCTGTATCAGCTTTGTGTTGGAAATCCCTTTCTGGTTTGACAGGAATTTTAGATTCTGGGAGCGTTAAACAGAAATGAGAAGTTCTGGGTTGGAGAGATAGTACAGCAGATAGGGCACTTGCCTTGCACATAGCCAACGTGGGTTCGATCCCAGAGCACCGCCAGGAGTAACTCCTGAGCCTTGCTGGGTATGACCCCCAGACAACAACAAAAAGCCCCTGAAAAACCAGAAATGGAAAGTTGTGACTGAGCTGAAGAGGAATGAGATCTCAAAGAAAATTCGGCTTTTAAGAACTTTTCTGAGGGTTCTGAAGAGAAGGAAAAGCGGGGCCTGCTGGGCTCAGGCCCTCCAGGGGGCCCTGGGGGTCTCAGGCTCCCGACGCTCCCATCTGCCGTCATTTCTGTTTTTTTCACCAGGCCACTCCTGTCACTGCAGCTGGCTCCTCCTGGTCTTCATCTGAAGCGCCTCCCAGAGGGCCAGGGCACGTGACCAAGGTGGCCGCATGGAGAGGAGAAGGGTTGTTTGGGAGCCACAAACACTGGGCCCCGGACTCAAGGCCAGACTTTGCCCCAGGGCTGGCCCCAGGCTGTTCCTGCCAGTCTGGGGCGGTGGGTCCTTCTCTTGCTGCTCGAAGCCTCTTCTGGTCTCCCTTCTGTCTATTTACTCTGTTCCCCTGGGCCTGTGGGCTGGTTCTTTTGTTTTTGTTTTTGTTTTGTTTTTTAGGTCACACTCTTCAAGGCAGGGGCTTTGGGAATGGATGTTTCCTTTATTTTATTTTTTAAGTTTTCTAGATGTCGGAGAATATAAGTATGGGGAAACCAAGATTCCTGGAATGCTTCTGTCAGGCTGCCTAGAGTTCACAGTGATTGATTGAAGCAGAGGCTGTGGTGTGTGTTAGCATAATCAGATATTCCTTAACCCCTCCTTATCTGCATCGCCCAGGTGCCAAGTGGCACCACCAGCACCTCCCCGACATGCTGCCCATCAAATTCAAATTTGGTTCTCAACATCTGATTTAGTCATTCCATTGTTAAGAAAACACAAGCAAACACACCTAAAAATATAGAACACTGTAGAGAAGATTTAGGACTAAAACTCAAAACTAGTCTCCCTCCAAATGCGAAAAACAAAACACACAAGTTTTTCCTCCAACAGGGCACGAGGCGAATAAAGAGCGTCTGTTCCCGACGTCTTGTCTGCTCGGGCTGATGGGTGGCCAGATCTTCCGTCTTCCTCTCCTTGGGTTTTGTAATCCTTGGCTCGTGATTAAGTGACTTTCTCAGCATTTGTTTATAGCACTGGGAGATGGGGCGTATCAACTGTGTGTTTGACAAAATTGCTTTTCCATCTTCCCCCGCTTCTTTTAACTCTTGTGTCGCCCGGTGTGGCGGCTGCCAGCACCTTCTGAGATCGCTTTTTCCCTTGCAGCCCCGAGCAGAGGCCCATCGTCCCCTCGTCGAGATCCCGGTTCGCCTTCTCCGTGTCTGTCTTGGACCTTGACCTCAAGCCCTACGAGAGCATCCCTCACCAGTACATGCTGGACGGCAAGATCGTCAGCTACTACTCAAAGACTGTACACGCCAAAGACGGGCCCGTGCGGGCGGCAAGGTTCAAGGACAGTGAAGATTGCACGTTGGTCCTGCATAAGGTCTAACTCTCCCCGTCGTGTCTCAGAAACTTGAACCTAGAATGTGAAGGTTGAATGATAGAGTGATGTGCTGTTGTCTTGGATGACTTTGGCCTATGAATGTTCTCTAACCCCCCGGCACACGGATTGGAAGAGCGCTCGCAATGCCTTCCAGAACCTGGGCTATGGCTCGTGAGCCGTGGGCCTCAGCTGCCTCTCTTTTCCTTAAATGGGGTTTTCATCAGACCCCGGGGAAACGTTCTGGGCAGTTCTTCCTTCCCAGCCAGGGCTCATGTCTAATTCTCTAATGCAAAAAGAAAAAAAGAAAAAGCCTTACAATGAGACTCAAGGTTTGCATCTCCCGCCAGCAGGCTCCTCACAGAACACTTGAATCATCACACACACCTTAAAGTTGGAGCGTGTGAGCAAACATGGCGACTACTGGAATGTTCCCAGGGGGTCGAGTGACTTGCCCACTCACGGAGCTCGGGCCCAGGCCTTCCTGTGCTGTGGTGTGTGGGCTGGGTGGCCGATAGGCACTTGGTTCTGGGCAGTGTGGATGGGGCTTCCCCGGGGAGGTCCCCCGCCCACTGCTGGGGTCGGCAAGGGACTCGGAATCAGGTCGGGACTTGGGGAAGGATGATGCCACTCATGGGGGCCACAACTTTTTTTTTCGCCCCCTCTGAATGATTTTCTAATATGCTGGGGACGAGGGTTCTTTCCCACCCGGACTTTGCTGCTGTGGATCTGGAAGCAGAGCTGCGGCTGTGCCCAGGGTGGGCATCACGGGGTGGCCATTCCTGGCAGCGCTGCGTTTCCTGGCTCTGTGTGTGTGTGTGTGTGTGTGTGTGTGTGTGTGTGTGTGTTGCGTGTGCCTGGTGGCAAGGGAACCCGTCTGAGCTGGCATCTCTCTTCCTCCTCCATGGCCCCGTTCCTCCCTTTGTCCCGCAGACACGCTCTGTGTCTGGGCCTTGTGTGGTGCCGGGCCGCGTCGCCAGCAGGGCCGCCAAGACCCTGCTTCCACAGAGGAGCATCTCCCGGCTGGCACCAAGAGGGTCTTGTTGGGGTCACTGCGGGTGCCCAGCTGCTATGAAAACTGTTGGGAATCTTGGCTTTAGTTTTTTTATTCTACAGTAGGTTGTACAGACTGATTATTTATATCATCGTTTTGAGGGGCTAATGAAGGCTTACTGTAATGTAATATTATATAAGTGAAACCATGGAACTGTATGAAAAATGCCACATGAAAAAGGAGACTATTTTGCTGATTGTAAATCTTTGTGGGAAAATTTTTTGTGATAACTTGAATTACACTCATTTGAATCAAACCAGCTCTTTTAGAATTTATTCTGCCTTCATGACTTCTTCCCGGAAACTCAGAGGTGCCTCAGACTGCGAGGCTGCATTGGGGTCGGGGGCTCCGTGAGTGAACCCCACAACCTTGTGTCTGTGCGAGGAGGTAGGTGGGTTAGGCTGTGGGGGCCCCCTCCGCTGTCCGCAGCTGGGGAGACGAAGAAGCATTTACAGGATAGAAGGTAGGAGAGCACCCCCTGCTGATGGTTCGACTTAGCCCCTAGCCCCCATCCTTCTGAGTGTCGGACAGGACTGGTGGCTTGGGAATGGGTCCCAGGGCCAGTGCTGCCCTTACCTGTGGGAGGACTTCAGCACGGGGACAGTTTCTTGGGCGTGGAGGACTAGGCACCTGTGAACCAAGGCTGTGGCACCTGTGAACTGTGGATGGACAGTGATCTTTGCTGCTTCGTGATTTTTTTGCGGGGCAGGGGAATGTATACCCAGTGGTGCTCAGAGGTCACTCCTGGCAAACTTGGGGAACCTTGTGTGGTGCCAGGGATCAAACCCGAGTTTGCCACATGTAAGACAGGTGCCTTAACTCCTGTACTATTGGGTTCTTCCCCTGCCCCACATGACATTTTAAAAGCCAGCTGCTCCCTGTTGTTTTGTGACATCAGAGGGAGGGAATTTCCAGCGTTACTGCCCCAACGTGGGTGAGGATGAGGGCACGTCTCTCCTGGGCATCTGAGGAACACGTTCCAGAAATGTTTTGCCTCCAGGAGCACCGAGTGGCTGACGACTCAGACATGTGGGGGACCGGCCATTCCCATGCTCTTTTCCCAACGTTCCGTCTAATTTGACAACATCCACTATACTTGACACTTGTCTGGCGTTTTGTAATGAGCTGTATTTATTTTACATGTCACGACAGGTATATATAAGGTACCGTCACTGCCAGGACTGCTCTGTCTGAAGGCTGAGCAGGGCAGAAAATGGGTTCTGAGTGGGAAGCAGCACACACTGATACTCTGGCAGGGCATGTGCAGGAGCAGGTGTGGTCCCGGTTCCTAAGCGTGTGCCGGGAGGCCGAAAACTGTGATCAGGCTTTCCAGCGTGCCCTGGATGCCCAGCACTCCCAGCAAGCTCCGGAAGCTGAGAGGAGCTGTTTCTATGATTCTGTTCTTGTCCAGCTCCAGGGCTGTAAAGACACAAATTGGGTGAAAAACAAGAAACAAACAAAAAACAAACAAAGGTTTAGCATTTTCTCCTCCTTGGCCGCAGTGAGTAAGCAGAAAACTCTGGACAAGTTTTCATCTGCCAGCCAGAGGTGGAGGCAGGCAGCTCCCCTGCCCACTGAGTGGCCCCCAATAAAGACATTTTTAAAACTGATGTCTAAAGTCCCTTTGTGAGACTTCCAGCTTTCTATCACTGCCACGTGGGCTGAGCTGAGGCCAACGGGTATCCCGGGCCCTACCTTGTTCTGGTACTTGGGGGAGAAGATCCAGCGCTGGCCACACTTTCCCCCGCTCGTCTATTTGTATCATCCAAACAATGAGGCATTCAAACCTGACCGAGGCAAGAGACAGCACTGAATGTTTTTTGAAATCTGATTGGAAGAGCCTTACCCACCAGAGGCACTGCACCCTGTTCCCCGCCCCCTTCCCGCATCACCCTCCCCCCCACCACAGTTAGTGGGCGCAGGAGCAGGATAGTGGGTCTTAGAAGTCCCTGCCCTCTGCCTGCTGATGTTAGCACGTCAGGATGTGGCGCCGAAGAACCCTCTTTGCTGAGTGCGAAATAGCAAGTGAGCGAGCAACTTAGAAAGCAGTTAGGTGAAGAGAAAGCTGAGCACATCTCGTCACCCAGAAACTGAATCCTAGCCCGCGGGAGGCCTACTCAGTAGCCATGACCAGGAATGTCATAAATAACAGGAATAAAACGCCCTGTAAACACCCACGATTTGAAGACTGCTCAGGGACACAGCACAGAGGTGTCCCCAGTTTCATCCTTCGAGCACCGCCAGGTCTGGTCCCCAAACCAAAGAGAAAACAAACAAAAAACAAAACACCAAAAAGCTATGTACCCAGGGGATGGTGTGCGGCCGGGAAATCGATGGGAACTCTCCCCCCCATGCAGCGCTGCCTTTGGGGCCTGCAGTGAGACCGGCCCATGGGCCCACTGGCCGCCACACCACTTGCTTCAGCTGAGACCCAACAGGTGCTCCCTGCCCTCTGCCATCTCCCATCCTAAGAAACTGGCTGTGGGGAGCCCCACTCACCCAGGCTGCTTGGTGCTCCGGATCCCCATGCTGCTGCCCGAGGTCCCCTCATAGAGATGCACAGTTCCTGGGTACTTCTCCTGTGGGGAGAAGAGATGGTCACAGAGATGCTCACGGGGCTGAGACACCGTCTCAGGGGCTGGAAAGCGACAGAGTAGTTGAGGTAACTGTGACATTGCCCCAGAGCTCCTGAGTTCCACGCACTGAGGCGTCCCCACCAGGTTCTCATTTGTGCAGCGCCACTGGCCACGGTCCCGGGATCAACCTCTTCCAGAACAACTTTCGGCCTTGGGTCACAGGACCCGACAGGGTTTCCTGCTCCCTCACTCCCCTCAGGTAAGGGGCGGCCCCCACACCTGGGAGGCTGGGTGGGCTGCTCCTTCTGGCTCACCGATGTTGTGGACTCTGGCCAGTTTGCTAGGTTTCTCGGTGCATGGCGGGTTCCCCTCAGCCCAACTTCCACAGTGTCACCCCCAGTCTGGGCCCCCCTGGACCATGTGTTCCAGCCCTGGCCACCCCCACATTTGCCACCAGCTCCTGCCCTGAGCGGGCCATCCAGACTTTCCCTGACATCTCCCCATCCTCAACTGTTGGGGAGTTTGGGGAAGCAAGTGCTACTCAGGGTTACTTTGTGATGAGACTGCCCTGAGCGTAGTGCAGAAAACGTCTCTGAAAGGAAATGAAGGGACCTGGGAGAGCTCAAGGCTTGCTCAGATGTGCATGTGTGAGGCACTGGGCTCCATCCACAGCACCGCAGTTTCCCTAAGAACCAGGGGCCCCCATGGCAGTTAAAACATAGGATGAAAGGAAAATCAGGTGGGGCTTCACAGTTTTTTGGTTTGCAAATAGGCAGGGTTGATGCTATTCATCTTCCTGGCCCTTCCAGTGATTCTGGAAATGTCCGTTTGCATCCTTTGTAGCAGGCCTCTGCAACCACCGGCCAACCAGAACTGGCCCCCTTAACGTAGGCACACTTTTGAAAGCATCAGAACACTAGCAAGGCGATCTGGCCATCCCAACAGAATAATGAGCAGCCCCACCTTTGTGGTTCTTGGAAACTACATTCTGTTGCTCTTGTGAGAACAGGAGGTCACACGGATATTATCCTAAAGAATACTACAGTGGGACCGGGGCAGTCTAGTACAGCGGGTAGGGCACTTGCTTTGCATGCAGCCAGGTTTGATCCCTGCCCGCCCCCCCCCCCCCCCCCCCCCCCCCACCGTAGGGTCCCCTGAGTGCAGAGCCAGGCCTGACACAAAACCGAAAAAACACAGTGAGATTTTGTGTGCCCCGATGTGGTATTGATGTAGGTACAGACACCAGGACTGATGCTGGGTCAGATGCAGGTCTGGGATGTCCTCAAACCAACTGCTGGGGATTCCAGAGCATCTGGGGGTGACAGAGGTGTGAGCTCACCGGAGAACTGACCAGTCAAAGGGCCAGTGAGGGAACCTCAAGACTTAAGGACTTTCCGAGGCTGCAAGTTCTTGGATTGCCCTAAAGCAGTGTTATCAAATGAGGCATTGTGGGGGCAAAGATGTGTTAGAGCTTGTAAAAGACCAGGCCACGGAGCAGTGTTTGGCTGTGCCTCCAACACAGCGTGAAAGATGCTGACGGAGCAAGAACGTGTCCAAGCACCAGGGTTGTTCTCACCAAATGCTGGGGTGGGCCTGGTTTAAGCTTACAGAGGATTTCTGGTTTTATGAGAAAATGTATACCTCAAGTGTCTCAAGTGGAAAGTGCTAGTAGATCTCGAAGCCTTAAGCTCTTCTAAATGAAGAACAACTGCGTGAGGAATGTACAGGCTCAGCGGTGGCGGGCATGTGGCCTGGGCTGCCTCCAGGGGGGCCCGCGGGAAGCGGTCTGGCTGCGGGCTGGGCCCTGAGCAGGCTTTAGCTCCCAGGGCCTCCCTGTGAGCAAAATTGGGGCGCAGAGCAGCTGCTTTCTCCAAGAGAGGAGGTGTTCCCCTCTTTTCAGGACTGAATAAAAATAAAGCAGGAATGCTGACATGAGAGAGGGCTGGGGCGCCGACAGGGTTTACAGGCGCCAAGTTTCCTTTGGTACATGTGCCAGCCCACCGAGTTCCCCTTTCGCCTGTAACTTTTACCAATCAGAGCAGACCACAGATGGGGAGAAAGCACCCAGAGGCCGAGGGGCAGCCTGAAGGAACAACAGGGCAGGGCAGGGGACGAACGAGGGCAGGACTCGTGCACAGAAAGATACTTTGAGGCCGATGTGAGGAATGACTGACTCCTTGCAAACTCGATCTTTCTTCAGCACCGAGGTCACATTTCAACAGCAACAACAAAGTCAATAAATCAACAGTACTGTATTTGACATCGTGGAAAAATGCTCAGCTGGCAGTGCTCATGCTCTAATTGGCCCTTGGTCCAATCCCCAGCACCTCCTGCTCAGCTGGGTGCAGTTGTTATCCTCCCCAGCATAGCCAGGGGGAGCCCTCACAGAACTAGCGAAGCAACAACCCAAAGGATGACTGCATCCCAAGACAGCGGGGCCTCTTACCGAGCGAGCCGAGGCCCTTGCGGGTGCTTCCAGTGAGCAACAATGATGACGGGGCTCACAGGGAAAGCTCGTCTGGAAAGCACTCTGTGCTCCGCGTTCCGTCACCAAGAGCTAATGCCACAGAGAGGGGGGGGTACCAGCCACTCGACTCTGGAGGTGGCTCTGCCCACACGGCCTGGGCTGATCTGCAGTGATGGGCGACTGTACTCAGCTTGTCGTGTGGTTGCAGTTTTTACAGGAAGATTTTCCCTTTTTTTTTTTTGTGGGGGGAGGGGGGAGTGTGGGAGAGGGCAGGCAGGGCTTTACCTGGTGCTATTCCAAGAATTACTCCCAGCCCTGTGCTCAGAGGTGGTGTGCAGGGGACAGTTTTGGTGCTGGGCATCAAACTGGGGTTCACTGCATGCATGGCCAGTGCCTTCTCCCTGGACCCTGTTGGTTCTTGTTCAGCTACTGGCTGCATGCCTGCAGTCTGCATTTGGGATCTCTCCCTGGGTGTCTGCAGCGATACAGTGATATGCTAGCCAGTGCCAGTCTCATGCCCACTTTTCTGTTGGAATGACTGCTGGCAAAAGAAAGAGAATTTTTTTGGGGGGGGCTACACCCATGATGCTTGGGGTTATTCCTGCTTTGCACTCAGGAATCGCTCTTGGTGGTGCTCAGGGATGCCAGAGACTGAACCCAGGTCATCTGTGTGCAAGGCAAATGCCCTACCCACTGTAGTATTGCTCTGGCCCCAGGAAATAGAATCTTTAACAGCTTTAGAGAAACCCAGCTTCGTGTTATTTCTCAGTCATTCCAGCCCAGAAATAGGCAAATAGGAAACCTTCATGCCTAAGTTTAAATGTCCCTTAGAGTATCATCTGATAGGCTAATTCATTTGACTTTAATGTATTCCCCAACATTATGTTTGGCCAATTTGCTGATGCAATAGTACAGTGGCTGGGAGATTTGCCTTGCATGCAGTCGACCTGGGATTAATCCCTGGTCACCCCAAACGGATCCCTGAGCCCTGCCAGGAGTGACCCCTGAGCACAGAGCCATGAGAAAGCCCTGAGCACCACCACATGTGACTCCCAAACAAAACAAAACGATAAAATTCACATAACAAAATTCACTCCTTTAAAAGAGATAATCTAGGGGCTGGAGCGATAGCACAGTGGGTAGGGCGTTTGCTTTGCACGCAGCCAACATGGCCAACACAGGTTCGATTCCCAGCATCCCATATGGTCCCCCGAGCACCACCAGGAGCGATTCCTGAGTGCATGAGCCAGGAGTAACCCCTGAGCATCGCCGGGTGTTACAAGCAAAATAAATAAATAAATAAAAAAATAAGAGAGATAATCTAGGGGTAGGAGAGACAGCTTTGTTGGTGAGGTGCTTGCCTTGGACGCAGCTGGCCCTGGGTAGCTACCCAGCTCTGCATTAGTTCCGGAAGCATCACCAGGGGTTACTCCTGAGCACAAAGCCAGGAATAGTCCCTGAGGAATACCTTGGGGGGTACACTGGATATACCCCACCCCAAAGTATAAGATCTAGATGGCTTTAATAGATTCACAGGGTTGTACAATGATCATCACTCTGATTCCAGAGCATCATCCCATAAAGACATCTGACCCTCTACCCTTCTCTAGTACCTATCACACAGCATAAGCAACCACTAGTCCAGCAGTCTCGATTAATTTGTCTACTGTCGACATTTTACATGAAAGAAATCTCAGCATACATGATATTTCTTGACTAGCTTCACTCATCATGCTTCCAAAAGCCCCTCTGTGCCATAGCATACATTTGTCTTTACTGTGCTGAGTAATATTTCACTTGTGAATAGATACTTGTTCTTCAACTGGTGGGCACTTGGGGGCTTCTACTTCTTGGCTGTTGCAAACAGCACTGATCTGCGATGAATACTCACATGTGACTTCTCGTGCAGACATATCTTTCTGTTTTTCTGGGTTACAAGTGGAATTGATGAATTATGTAATTCGAGAAAAGGCCAAACTGTTTTCCACGGTGGCTGAAGATTTTTATCTGTGCATAAGGGATTCTGATTTCTCCATCTCCTTGTCAACACTTGATATTTTATTTTTCTTTCAAAATTCTAGCCATCCTAGTGGATATTAGTATTGCTTTTTTTTTTTTTGCCACACTAGGTGATGCTCTGGGCTTACTCCTGCTCTGAGCTTAGGGATCACTCCTGGTGGGCCAGGGGAGCATATGGAGGGCCTGAGATTGAACCTGGGTCAGCTGTGCACAAGGCAAGTGCTCTCCCTGCCTGCTGTACCATCATTCTGGCCCCCTGCCATGTGCTTTTAATGTACATTTTTCTGATATACATTTATACAATTAATATAAAACATCATCGTGTTTACATTTTTTGGGGGTTTCCTTTATTTTTGGTGGGAATACGGAGCAGTGCTTGGGGGACCATGTGGTGCCAGGGATCAAACTGGTCCTCCTGAGTGCAAAATACTCAGCCTACTGAGTTATTTCTCTGGTTCATCTGGAGAACAGAGCGATAGCACAATGGGTAGGGCGTTTGCCTTGCAACACGATTCCT